CCAGGCCAGCAGCATCTCCGATTCAGCATGGCCCCTGTGCTACCTCTACTCACGGCCCTGCTGGTGTTCGGCTATGGTCCTGTTGGGTCTCTGGGCTGCGACCTCTCTCAAGACCACGTCCAGGTCAGCAAGGAGAACATCGCACTTCTGCATCAAATGCAGAGAATCAGCTCTTTCCGCTGTCGAAAGGACAGAAAGAACTTCGGATTCCTACGGGAAATGGTGGATGGCAGCCACATGCAGAAGGCCCAGGCCATCTCTGTCCTCCAGGAGATGCTCCAGGAGATCTCCAACGTCTTTGGTACACAGCAGTCCTCTGGTGCCTGGAACACGACCCTGCTGCACGGGCTACTCAGTGGACTCCATTGGCAGCTGGAAGACCTGGGTACCTGTTTGGTGCCAGAGATGAAAGAGGCGGAATCTGCCCTGGGAATGGAGGACCCTGCACTGGCCGTGAAGAAGTACTTCCAGGGCATCCGTCTCTATCTCAAAGAGAAGGAATACAGTGTCTGTGCCTGGGAGGTTGTCAGAGTGGAAATCAGGAAAGCCTTCTCTTTATCAACAAACTTGCTAGACAGGTTATGAAACCAGGATGGAGACATGGAGTCACCTTGAAATGATTCTCATTGGTGGTTATGCAATATCATATTTCATATATAACATTGGTCATTTCTAAAGTGTGTTTCTGCTTAAGTGTCAGAAATTATTGCCTTGATGCCTGATCGATTATTTATTTATTTATTTATTTATTTATCTATTTTTTATTTATTTACTGTTAATTTATTGCAGTCCTTACATCTGTCACATGGGATTTCTAAAAATGGATGTAATTACATGTTCATCTTTACATTGTATTAAAATTTACAAAACGTGTTTACCTTTCTATGTTAAGTTTCTTTTTGCATTATTTATTAAATTTCTATCAAAAATTTTCTGCAATTTATTGAAAAAATCAAAATCCAAACCCTATTTTTGTAACTGATACTGCAGAATTGGTAGCACAATGTCTTTACTCATTCATTCCATTTGGATGACTGCAGAAACTGAGTGTCCAATTTCAAACTGTGTAACTGTGGTGAAGAATTGTATGTAAATAGAGTAATACAGAAAGTTCCTGTTGTGTTCAAACTTTGTGTCACAGAAAAAGAGAGAAAAAAATGTACTAATGTTCATTTGTATTATGTTGAACACTATGAAGAGAAAGAAAAGAATGAAGAAACATGCCAGAAATTTTAGGTAC